TCAACCCCTTTGAGCCTTGTGACTCCATGGGTCGTTCTCAATTTAGGAGCTTCGTTCGTGTGAGCTTAAAAGTTTTAGTAGAACGACCCCCAAATCCTTTCTTCGTGTCCAAACATGAGCCACCAGTGTGTCCCGGAGATCTTACCGTTGAGTTTCCATATAGGTTGTACATAGGGGGTTTGTGTGTGATTCTTGCTAGGAATGCAAAATGGAGTGTAGTGTTGGAGTTAGTTCCTCAAAAAGAGAGAATTGGTCGATAAATGTTTAGGTGGAAAGTGTTTTTACTCTCTAATACCCCCCCTCAAAAAGAAAAAAAAGAAAAAAAAAAGAAAAGAGAAACGAAACGAAAAAGAGGTAATAAAATGGGGTAAATAAATTAGAGAGTGCCACGAAAAACCAAAGTACATGCTCTAGGAGGGGTTTCTTGGCACCCAAGCCATAGAAACCCCCACATTAATTAGAACTCCTTCACTACCAAACCTTAAAGAACTAGCAAGAGTTGACCGAGGAAGAGTGCTTCAAGGTAGTTCACGATGAGTGATAGTTGGAAGGGAGAGATAAGGGTTTTGGCCGATGCTAGTGGTCTTTGATTGAAGAGAAGGGTTTTAGTCGAAACCATAGACCCTTCGGGTTTAGGTTGAAGATGTAGAACCTCACGTCATGATTGCCACCACCCAAAAAGCCTTTTCCCCATGTCCAAGCCAATCCCCAGTCATCTGAACCCGTGTCTAAGACCTCCAGACGAGCTAGTGGTGACAACAATCCCGTGAACTCTGGAGTTTAGAGGTTACCGCCGTGGTATTGAGACGATAGGGCCGAGAGGTTACGATTGTGCACATCTTTTGCACCAAAAAGGTCCCGACCCCATCGGTCTTGAGAGTGAGTGATTCATTCTTGTTTTGCTTACCATTTCATACACCGGTGAGGACCTTCGTTGCCTTTCCATTTGATCCTCGGACTTGAATTCCATGCATGGTTGGTTGTGGTCGATAAGTGCTTTTGTTGAGACTTGCATTTATCCATTAATAAGTTGAGAACTTTTTGTTTTCCCGTTTTGGTGGCTTTGAATGTCGTTTGTGGTGGATGTCGGTATTGCTTGCAACAGTTCATGTGTTAATTGTCAATAAACATCGAGAATTACCGCTTCGTGTCCTTTGAGTTGTCCCCAAAGCATTTGTGTAGGTTGAAATATTACCGTGTGCGTGAAATGGTTTGCTTGGGGACAAGCAAACGTCTAAGTGTGGGGGAGTGATTCGGGCCTAATTGCACATATTTCGCCCCCGGTTCACCTAGATGTTTGTGCCAAATTCGCTCCGTAAGGGTCGGTTTTAAGCTAGATTCTTCGTGTTTGCATGTGTTTCAGGATTTAACAGGCGAAACCAGCCTCGGAGTCGAAAGACTGGCGAAAAGGATCGAAAACCGGGATAAGAGGTGAAAAAGAGCAAGTTCACAGCTAATTGAAGGAGTTCACGGTCATGCAAAACCGTGAAGAAGTGGAGTTGACCGTGAACCGCGAGGCGTCCAGAGCCAATTTGAAGGTTACTAACGCAAGGTGAGTTCACAGTCACTAAGACCGTGAATACAACCAGTTGCCCGTGAACTGACGTGAGCGATGCGGAGCGTTTTGGTGCATGCCTTGAGTTCACGGACGCGTTTGATGGTTCACGGCCGTGAACTCAGCTCTTCTCGGGTTTAAAAGCTGAGCTGCAAGGAGGAGAGAGGGAGGGCCAACTTTTGTGAGAAAAACACCTTCTTCAGCATTCTAGTGAGAGAAACAGAACCAATGGGAAGAAGAAGGTTAGAGTTTGGCTTCAAGGAAGATTTTGGGAAGATTTCCCCAAGGAGATCTCAACTCAAGGGTCAAGAAGAGAGGAGACATCCCCAAAAGATGGTTTCCACCTTTGTCCCTTTTGCTCTTCCCACTTCTACCATGGAGTAGACCTCCTTTCACTTGGGTGTAGTGAAACCCTAACTCTACCATGTAGTTTTCTTGTATGTGGTTTGGATGATTGATATTGGGTATTGTTCAATTCAATGTTTGAGGCATTATTCACCATGATTGTGCATGCTTGTGCTTAGCAACTTAGGGGTTGTGCATGTTTTGTGCTTAGCATCCTAGGGATTGTGCATAATCGTGCTTAGCACCCCTAAGTTTGTGCATTTAGGTGCTAGTAATCTAATTTGCCATCTTAGCCTAGTTTAGAGAGGAAAATCCCCCTTTCAAGGGAGACTCAATCGAGTTGATTTTCCTTCTACTTTCTAAGCCACCTAAACTAGGTTGAGTTAGGGAAACCCTCAATATTGAATTAATCAAGTCGATTAATCGTGGTTAAACTGTCTGACCTTCGAGTTGAGTGAGGAAGTAAGTTGATTACCGATTGCCTAAACCGAGAGGGTCGAGTGACACAACCTTTCATCCTCACCTCGGTTTAGAAATTGAGACTGTGGTCTCCGACCACATATGCTTTCCTCTGCGGTTCATGATTAACGTGCCCAAAGCAATCATTCCCATCCAGGTAGCATGGTAGCAGTTAGGGGGAAACGAAACCCGAGTGACTTTCCCACAAAAGAATTTTCAAACCAAATTACCTTTGCTTTCTTTCATTTCAATTAGAAAACCTTTTAAACCAAAGTTTAGTTGGTAGATAATGATTTCAACAATGGAAGTAGGGATAGACGGACCAGTTCAGGTCTATATCTAAATACTTGCCGTATACTGAACCCGATTAGAGTTTAAAAACTTGGGCTCTAATTGGGCTTTAATTGTGGTGTAGTTTCGTGCGAGTTAGACTCATAGCAACGCAATCGAGTTCTCATTGCATCAACATCGACTCACAACGTTTAGAGCCAAAACGGAACTCAAACATCCCTAATGACGACATACATTTATTGATTAGGAAAACACAAATAAACAACAAGCAACAACAAAACCGCAACAGGGAAACTCCTCTTGCAGTTCAACATACAATACAAACGCCAATAGCCAACAACTACAAGTCTGCAATCCAACCAAGACTACAATAGGAGACTAATTAATACTAGCCATTACATGATAAACAAGAACCGTGGGCACTCATATGTTATATCAGAAGTGTTGTCAAACTTCTTTTCATATCATACCAAAGAAAAAGCCATCACAGTGCATTTGTGCCCCCAATGAAGACACCCCAAATTGCACAGGGATGAGTGCCTATTATGTATCAAGTTCTCACTGTATAAGCTGCGGCCAACTGTCTCTTTAGATATGAAGTCCACTCTTCCACACACTGGCGATCCACTTTCTTTGTGTTTAACAACCAATTGGCAAGTGCGTTATCAATCCTCTAGCATATTACTCCACACACCTAGCAGCCTTTTGACTTGGTGGGGATAGTCTCCGCATCTCCAGGAAGTTATTTCGATGAGTCCAACAAGGACGCCGCATAAGAGGAGGGACGACAGACAAGGAGGGTGATCTCTTCTTCTCGATCGACTGGTATTTGGCGGCGGGGTTGTTCGATGGAGACAAAAGGCCGGTGAAGACGGCGACTTCCTTCGCCTAAGTTGTACAGAATCAATGTTGGGAAAAAGGGAGAGGTCTATGGAGAGGTTAGGTAGAGCCTGGTGATAAGATCAACGACGGTGAAGTCACCGGCCGTCGAAGAGGGAGACTGAGGAGACTGACGATCTGTTTTCGTGTTCCCTTCTCCCCAGTTTCTGCCGAAAACAAAGAGCAATTTCCATCGATTTTAATTTAATTATTGACAATATAGCAAACAAAATACGATGACTGGCGTTATTATTGTTTTCCTTCCATAAGGGTAACAACAGTTAGGTCTAGGACTCATGGGACACCGGGTTTAAATGAATCAACCCACTGCCACATATTAGTCCACGTGGACCAATCAAATTAAGCGTTATCGGTGCCGCACTTTTGATAGCGGCACCGTAGTATTAGCCTTATACAAGACTTCACATTAAGAAAATTAGTTTCTTTCAAATTTCAACCCATCCGCTTGGTCCATACTTTGGGCTCACCAGGTGGAATTTTTTTTTTTTTACTTAGAAGGTGATTGTTTCCTTTTACAAACTCTTATTGGATTTTGATGCATAAAAAAATCTATAGACCAAGGTATCAAAATTTTAAGATTTTTTTCTGTTCTCTTTTTACTTCTCTCTCTGGTTTTTTCTTCCAGAAAAATAGCATATTCAAATTCAATAAACCACACAATAATTAAAATACACCCTACTGCAGAGCAAGATATTGTCCGCTTTGGGCCTCCCATAAGGTCACTCATCTTAGTACTACTCTCGCCCAAGCACGTTTAACTTCGGAGTTCTCACAAGAACTCCTACCATTACACCCCAAAACGCGTCTTGTCAGTTAAGGTCGGTTTCCTACTAATGAATCATGGATCTCTCCCGTGCTTTGTCGATGTGGGATTGGCCTAAGGTGTTACATACACCGTGCCCTTGCATTCCACCTCCAAGCTAACCTCCTTCTTGTAGCAGTCCACCTTTGCTCTATTCTTTGACAGCCAATCCATACCCAAGATGACATCAAACTCGCCGAAGGGTAGTAGAATTAGGTTCGCCTCAAATTCGTGCCCCGCCACGGTGATAAGACAATCACGAATGACCGAGTCCACTATAAACTCTTCCCCAAACTCACAAATGGGACTCCTAAGGTTCTAGCAAGCTTGGTAGAAATGAAAGAGTGCGTGGAACCGGAATCAAATAATACAAAAGCGGGCTGGTGGTAAAGCGAGATCATACAAGTCACCACCTCAGGTGCAGCGTCAGCTTCTTCTCTCCTCATGGCAAACATTCTTGGTTGCCCAGATGCTTGAGATCCTTTCCCTCGATCTCGCTCATTGCAGTTGAACCGCCCTGCATTTCCTCCCTGCTGGTGATAAGACCGGTTTGGCTGGTTGCCAAACTTTTGTCCGGTCTGAGTTCTTCCTCCTCCGCCCCGGACTGATTGTTCGGACTGGGCTCTCCCCTGTCCTCCTCTCTTAGGGCAATCTCTGGCATAGTGACCCGACTCGTTGCAGTGATAGCAGATGCCTCCCAGATGCACCTTGCACTCTCCCGGGTGAGTTCTCCCACACTGGTTGAATGGGTCCAGAGGAATGGGTTGGAGTGCCAAATGATCAAGGCTGAACATCAAGCTCCAGTCATTGAAAACCTACCGTTGGAGATCCCGCAGTGGACTTGGGAGAAGATCACCATGGATTTTGTGTATGGTTTACCGAGGACCCCAAAGGGAAATGATGGAGTATGAGTGATTGTGGATCGCTTCTCGAAGGTGGCTCATTTTATACCCATCAAATTCAAGCCAGGGCTGGAGGAGCTGGCTAGGCTGTATGTGAGGGAGATAGTGAGATTGCATGGGGTTCCACTTAGTATCGTGTCTGATCGCGACCCTAGCTTCATGGCACGATTCTGGGTGAGTCTTCAAAAGGCAATGGGCACTAAAGTTCACTTCTCTACCGCCTACCACCCCTAGACAGATGGGCAATCAGAGAGGATGATTCAGACACTAGAGGACCTGTTAATGACCTGCTCTGATACCAAAATGAAACATCCCACCTCTTTGAACTTGGAAAGAGACATTTCTACCCCGGGGTATAGTTAAAAATCTCAAATAACACAAGTTTAAATAAAATACCAAACTCAAATATCATAATATCTCAAATCGAAGCCATAAACACGTGGGCAAAACTCAAATTGTCCAAAAGAAATGAATCTCCAATCTTTAACTCTTAACCATAAAGTCTTAATAACTTGAAAAAGTTCTCCGATGCTTACTCTGACGCCTGGCTCGACATCTCTCAGCGACGATGGTGTTGAGCTCCTCTAGCTTGCTGATCACGGACTGGCTGGTTAGGATTTCCTCCCCTACGATCTGGTGAGTGAGCTGGGGTCTGTCTACGCCCTTACGATAAAATCTATAGTACTTTAGTATTCTTCTCTAAACACTTAACTTCTACTAGTGGGAGTCGTTTTGTACTTCCACTCTTAACAATCTTAACTCATAAAATTCTTCGGGAGTTAAAGCTACTATCCCTTCTTAAAGCTCAAAACTTGACTTAAAACTATTGACTGACACTGGGATCCCTCACTAGCTAGTTCGGTTGCCAAACTCATACGTATGAGAAGCCATTCAGGCTTTCCTTAAACTTAAACTTAGTTAGGGAAGTCGTAACGATTCATCTCCCTAACATCTTAAACTTATCGTGGTGGCTTTTCACCTCGATTCTCAAGGGCATAACTCTTACCCATCTCAAAAGTCTCAAGAGCATAACTGCAGCTCTATCTCAAAATGTCTCAAAACGCAACAAACTGGCGCTAGTGACTAAAAACACTTAAAACGACTTCACCTTCTTGAAGATGAGTTACTTCTTTTAAAAGAACTTTTTTCTTAACTTTAACAATAACTTATAAACGTAAAGCTTTAAATTAACTAAGAACACATGCACATTCACATCAAACATAACTCAAACAAAATCTCATATCATCAACCATAAGCACAATCAAACAACGACAATCACTTCATCAGCATGAGTAAGGCTTGTAATTCTTGAAAAAACACGTAAGGCGTAGAATTTACCCCCTTTACACTCACCTTGTAAAGCTGACTCCTCGATTCTTTACTCGAAGAATTCCCACCTAGCCGAACTATCTCGGTGAACCTATTAATAAGAATGTCATCTCTTTAGTCGACCTTTATCGATTTAGAATTCCGCTTTGGGTCACTAGAACATCCTCTCCTCAAAATCCAGCCCTCGAGACTCGCTCCCAAGGTCTCTTAACCCCCTTTAAAAATTCTCTAAAAACCATCCCTTCAAAACCGACCACTTTTTCTAATTATTTTAGTCTTGTACAAATTTTCCACCTAGTTTGAACCTTCTTAACAATTTGGATAATAATTTTCCTACATCAATCATGAGTACTTATACCCCGGAAAATTATCAAACCCTTATAAACTCTTCGGAATTATAATTATTTAATTAAAATGAATGTTCGAACAGTTTTAAAAATTAAAATACGTCTTCAAAAATCCGCAAATTAAATTACAGCCCTCTCCTGAACCTCCCTCAATTTATAAAAATTTTAAACTCAAGAACGAACCCCCATAAAGATTCGAAACAATTTAAACCATCTAAAACAAATTTCTGAAAATTCCCAGCAGCTTTAGCGACCACCCAAATCCTGTCACTAAAAGCCTGAACGTATGTTGCTAAAACCTCAGGATTGCACTGTGACGAAAAATCACCAAATCGATCAATCTAACTCAAAGAGATCGAGTTCCCTTACCTCTAAAACGCGCCTAGACCTAGGTTGGATGACCCGGGACCCTCAACGTTACCGCTAGAACACGAGAGGGATGGGATCGGGATCGGGATTGGGATCGGCTGCCGACTCGCACGGGCTGGGGTATTGATCGGCGGTGGCGGTTGATTTTTGCTCGCAGGGGAAGTTGAGAGGCGGCGGGTTTGAGGGTTTCTCGCGCTGGGGAAAAGAATGGCAGAGGGGTCGGGGATTTTGGGGTTAGGGAATTTTAGAGGGGGTCGGGTTTGTATGGGCCGAGGGTTTATTATTATTATTTTTATTTTTTGTTCTGCCTTGGGGGAAAAGAGAGGCTGGGGAGTGGGGAATGGTGGCGGTGGGGATTTATATGGAGTCCGGCCCCTTTTTGGGCCCTAGATATATATATTTTTTTCTTTTATAATAAGAGTAATAATAATAATAATAATAATAATAATAATAATTATTGTTATTATTATTATCTCCACATCAATATAAGGGGATTCTGCGTGACAAGGGTTTAAAACCCAAATTGCAGTCCTGAACGCATCTCACGGAAGGATGCATAAGTCTTTTACCATTTTATTTTGTTTTTATGAACGCTTCTCATCTATTCCGCTGAGGGAAAATAACTTCAATGTTGGGCTTGGCTTTTATTGGATAACCATGCTTCTATTTTAGTATACGGTTCTAGCATTTTATTTTTGAATAAATTCTTATCAGAAAAATATTGTGCTAATCAAATGGATTTCGATACGGCTTCGGCCATTCTGAGGTCTAATTAAAACTTATATATGGAGTCTCTTAAATAAATCTCACAATGAGATGGACAAGGCTTTTTTTTTATTTTTGAATATGGAGAATGTAGATGGACAAGACTTAAGCCTTTAAGCCACACAAATTAACTATACTGATCGAGCTAATTATTTATCAACAACTCAATCAATGTTTTTCATACAAAGTTTTAAGAGTTTGAACAAATCATCACAGGCATGCCCAATCAGAAATATGAATATTTGTTAAAAAGCAAACATCTATGTCCAAGCCCATTCAAATACATTTTACTGTATTGTTTTGAATAAAATGAATTCAGAGTTCATTTCATTCTAAAATGAAATCCTATGTAGAATTCAATTGTCAAATGAATTGCTATGTTTGAAATATCATATTCAAATATGTTGAAATAAGTGAAATTGAATTCCAAATCCTGTTTGTAATACGTTCATACTTTAATTAAATTAAAATCTCCAACTATACCCTTATCAACTTTCAACAAAAATAACATTGCTTTTACTCATTGAAAACCTATCTTCTAAAAACACAAGTGCCAAAGTTATCATCTAACCAATCCAACCAGGTGAAAAACAGTAAAGTTCCTCAAAAAAGTGAAAAATATGAAAATTCATCTTTTGAAACATTCATTGTAACTCCTTTTTCACCTAAGCCAAGAAAATTGGTCTCTTCATGGTTATATATAGGCTAAGTAGTGGGCTACTTTCTGTTTGGTGTACAAATATGGAGTATTGGCACTAAATTAATACATATGGTCAATTTATTTGATATTTGAGAATACTTATGTCATTTTATCAAAATTATTAAAATATTTGTGGAATTTATTTGGAAATTCCACTTCGATTCCTCAAAATTGTTAAAAATAGCTTAAATTTCTCAGAATTCAAAATTTAGAATTCAAAATGAATTCTTTTATATTCCAAACACAAAAATATTTCATTTCAAAATGAATTCTTAAAAACTTATGGAATTCATTTGTTTTGTTTTAAGTGATATGGAATTGGAATTCATTTGGCATGTAAATGTTTAATTGATTAATTAGAGTAAAGTTTATATGTGCATTTGATATTGTAATTTGTAATGAGAACAAAAACTGTATGAAATATTTTAGGAAGATTTTTTTAACTTAATCAAAATGGTATTTCACATTTGTAAATATTTTATCATTAAGTTCTAGCTTTCAATGAAACATAGGAGAAGAAAACGGAGTATTCTAATGGTGGAGATAGGGCATTCATTGATGGAGATAATGACTTTGTTGAGAAGAAAATATAGACAATTAACTATGGAAATAGAAATATAAAAAATTGGCAAGGAGCAAATTTCAGACAACATTCAATATTTGAAAGAGGTAATATCAATATGTTTCATATTTGTAAAATATTCATCATTAAATTTAGTTTTCAATTCTACCAAAAAAAAATTTAGTTTTCAATGAAATTTAGTAGAAGAGCAATGAGATTGTTTAAATACAAGAAACCAATAATGCAATATTAATATTGGAAATATAGGTGTTATTAATGGAGATGAAGGTACTGTTATTGGTGCAAATGATAATGATGAAGCATTCGGAAAGTCCAAAAGAAAATATGCAGTAATTTCTAATCTAAGTGTGATTTGAGCACGTTTTTCAGGAGTTGATTACCTTGTATGATTTAATATTTATTATAACTTTTGATACTGATGGTAGTTGATGAATCAGTTAGGATGTCGGAAAATTTCAAATTTATGATTCATGTTATTATTATTTCCCCCAATAATTTAATATTTGGATTATCTTATGATAGCAAATTGAAAAATTTGCTATTGTTGTTTATATCATTGATAAAGTATATCCGGCCAACGGGCCGGGTTCAAATCTAGTTATTATTATTACTAATCCGCGATTGCAACTTTTGGTACGCAACTGTCAACCCAACCGATCACGTATTATGGTCGAACCATAACCCATAATTCGGGGTGTTACATGGCAAAGCCACATATAGAGAAGAGGGGTCCTAGGACCCCACTTGGGGAAAAAAGAGTAAAAAAAAACTCTTTAGATATGCAGGGTTTAGTATGATCTTTGCATTTAGAACCCCATACTTTGTTGATATTAGCTTATCTAAGGACACCAATCAACTCAAAGTTCATTAAATATACAGACTAAAACGTTTAAAAATTTTTAAGGACCCTAGTCAATTCAAAGTCCGGCTACACCACTGATTATTCGATCGTAATACAAACTAGATTCAAGGAACTATAGAGGAGAGCAATTAAGCCAAATCGTGAGTGCGTTGTCAAACATGAAAGGACAATCAAACTATATGAAACTTGCCATTTAGAAATCAGATCATATTGGGTAGGCCGTAGGTAGAGGAAGGAGAAAATAAACCAAAGGAAAAGTCATTAATCAAATTAGGAACGGGAGCCAAACATGAAAGTCAAATGCAGAATCAATGACCCTGAGTCAAGATAAATTAAACTAGTGGACGGTTGAAGACGAGACAGAGGAGCAGCTAGGTGGATTGTGGTGAGCAGAGTCGGGGGAAGAAGCAAAGGCCAGCAACCCAAGATTCTGGTGGGGACGATGAATAAGAGGGATGAGGAAGAAAAGACATCGGAGCCTTGTTACCGGATCTCGTAAAGAAACAAAACCAAATAAAGCTTAGTTGAATCATGATGAACGGATTCCCTCCGTTCTAGGGTTTTGCTCGAAACTCACGAGCGAGATAACGACGTTGGTGTCGATAAACCTTAACTTTATTATTCGATACGGAACTAATGCCCAAGTTACATATTTATAGACTCACGAAATCCTAATACGTAACCTAGTCCTACCCCTATTCGGCTACCCCTCCCAAACAGGAAAACTCGACCCAAAAGGAAAACACCCTAACCCAACCCGAAAAGCCCAAACTGAAAATCTACTCATCAATCCATCCCCCTCAAAGAAACTTGGTCTCCAAGGTTCGCTTCATGTCAAAGTGTGGTGGAGGGCAACGAAAACAACCCCAGCTCTTACGACGACGTTGAAGCTTACATCGCTTCCGAAACTTCCAGCATGCAGCTTGACCTCTGCTCAACTTCTTCTCGATGAATAGTGCATGGGTCGCTGGCTGAATTGTTGGGACTCCCAACTTGACAGCTTCAGCTTCAGTAGATGCACAAAATCCCCCTGTAAGGTGGCTAGCACTAGGGCCGAAGAGAAAGAGGTTTGAGGGACTCCCTCCACGTACATCATCTTTGCCCCAAGAATGAGTGTGCCCTCCGTCAATTATGGGAGGGTGATTTTGTTGAACAAAACCCCCATCATCATAACTAAAGGGATCCTCATCGTCGTCCCAGGGAAGAGCTTGCCAGGCGTTCGGATTTGGATGGACGCCCATCGGCTTCCGCAAATCCTTCGGCGGCCCACCAAATTCCAAACTTCCCTTCGACGAACGCCGCGGTGATGGCGGCCTGACGAGCGAATCCGAAAAGTTGCTGCTGATAACATCTGCGTTGGCTTCCTTGGGCTGAGCTCCAAGGTCATAAACCTCCTTCATGTCGATTTCGGAATGATAGGTGAGAGCCTCGTAGCTTCGCTTTCCGTCGATGACGGTCACGCTTTGAAATTGGCCATCCAACTGCTTCTCCCCCACCTTTTGCGATGCAACACCATTCAAGCCCTGAACTTCAATCATAAGATCGAGCTTGTTGAGGATCTGCTGACACATCAGCTTCATGCTCGTTAAACTCTCGTTCATGCTCTGGAAGTTTGCCCTGGTGCTTTGCGTTAGAGCGCGGATCGCGGCCTGCTCGAGAACCATGGCACCCACCCCTATAGGATGCGTAACCAGGCTCTGATACCAATTGATGAACGAATTCCCTTCGTTCTAGGGTTTTGCTCGAAACTCACGAGCGAGAGAACGACGTTGGTGTCGATAAACCTTAACTTTATTATTCGATACAGAACTAATGCCCAAGTTACATATTTATAGACTCACGAAAGCCTAATACGTAACCTAGTCCTACCCCTATTCGGCTACCCCTCCCAAACAGGAAAACTCGACCCAAAAGGAAAACACCCTAACCCAACCCAGAAAGCCCAAACTGAAAATCTACTCATCAAATCAATCAATAAATCCAATCAGAATTGTTCAAAGTTTTCGGGTGATTGTGTGTTGACGGGAACATGGAAGTAGCAGAGCAGACTCCGGGGATATGCTCACTTCTCTCACGAGCTTTGTCTTCCGTTGGTATCATTTTTGTTCTATCCACACACTGGACGGGTGGTGGCTTTCGGGGATTAGGATTTTTTGGACAGGAAAGAGTGTGAATGTTTCCCGGGAAAGCGATTGTGTTATAATAACTAAGGGTAGTTTGGAAGTTGTGATTTCAAATGGTGTATTGATCTAATTCATGTATTTATTTGTGAGATTAATAAGCCGTTTTTTTTTTGGGTTTATATAGAATTAGAATACATACATTTTTGTTAAGTGCTAAATTTTCAAACAACCCCTAAAGCTCATTTTGTTGAGCTTTAGATATAACAAAGTGAAAGTTGAGATATCAGAAGAGTAATTGACCTAATCCTTTGGAAGATGTCTCTCCCTCACAAACACAAAAACGGATGGCCCTGCCCAGGCCAGAGCGAGGAGAAACAAGACACGGAAGCTGCTTTTGAACATCATGACAGAAAAACTCAAACCCAAAAAATCAAAACCAAGCCATGGCCGTAACTCTTCCATCGGCCGCCACAGCACGGCCGATCTCCGGCTCCGTTACCTTTCGCCGGCCGCCATCTTGTTTCCTCCCTCCCAAACAACTACCTTTCCTCCCTATTCCAGCGTCCAAAAACACAATCCACCGCCACCGTCTGATATCCACAGCCACACTAGACGAGAAAGACCCCATCGGCGTCGCGGAAGAAGAAGAGGAAGAGCAGGGGTTCTCGCAAGAAATTGATAAAGTAGGCGCTGAGTCCAAGTTTTCAATTTCTTTCTCTCTGTTTCTGTTTGGCTCGTGGGAGAGAACTGACATTTAGTTTTGAATGATTATAAACCCTAGGAGGTTGAAGAGAAAGTGAGATTACTGAAGGATGCTGCGAAGACGAGGAAAGTAACGGCGGCGGAGATTCTGGAAGCTTTTGCTGTGATTGAGAAGGCCAAGATCGATCCCTCTGGTTTCCTTCACACCCTCGGCGGCACTCAGTCGCCTGGCCGGACTTGGATGCTTGTCTTCACCGCTCAGGTTCCCAATTCCCCCCCTAAATCCCCTTTCAGAATTTTGATCATAACCAGTAAGGCAATGTTAAGAAAAATGGTAAAATTGCAGAAGAAATTGAAGGGTGGAAGGTATTTCCCGATTACTGCAGTTCAGAGATTTGATGCTGCTGTAAGTAACCACTCATCGTCATCCCCGGATCTCGAATTTCCTTGTCTAGTTTAGGCTCTATGTTTGGTTGCTTACAGAAAAGGAATGGCCTTATTTGTATTGTATGGTACAGGGTAAGAGGATTGAGAATGGGGTGTATTTTGGACCAATTGGATGGCTGACATTTGAAGGGAGATTTGCATGGAAGAAGAAGAAGATACTAGCATTCATCTTTGAGCGAATCCGAATCAAACTCGGGCCATTTAACCCTCTCGAAATTGGGATTGGCAGCGGTGGAGAGCAGGGAGACAAAGAACCAACCACAAAGAATGATCCTTTCTTCATCTGGTTGTACATCGACCAGGAACTCGCTGTTGGTAGGGGTAGAAGTGGTGGCACTGCTTTCTGGTGCAGATGCCGCCGTGTTGTTACTAATGACATCTGAAACTACTACTCAAATGAAATAAGAAATGATTACAAGTCATAGGCCGTTTCTCATTGCGAATCATGTCCCAACTCGCCACTATCGCAACCACCTGAGCTGAATTCAACAGAATCGAGACTAAAACTCTACAAGCGAAGTATTCTTTTTTGAGCTGCAACAACAATCAAGAAAAAGAGAGAACTATGAATCATATTCCTAGATTAGCCTATCAAACCCACAACTTAAGTTTCGAAACTCACCATGCTTGGATGTCCGGTAGCCCGAACAGAAAGTATTTTGATGAACTCTGAGCTCCTCCACAAAGGTCGACTATTTCTTGCTACTGCTGCTGCGTTGTTTATGTTGCTGCTACTACATTTCTTGGTCGCTGCAAGTCAGTACCAAATCAGCAGTGAGAAATAAAATAAAAAATCTCTTTACCAGACATACAAGAAATACATTGAGGGAAAAAAAAAAAAAAACAAATCGATAAGATAGTAGTGAGAATTAGAACCGATGGATCTAGACACAAACTTCACCAAGCAACCAACACAAGTAGCAGAAATTAACAGTCCTGCACAAATGGCTTTGCTCATTTCAATATGCTGGATCCTAACGAACTCATGAGAGAATTTCATCATATAGGCATGCAATAAGGTAAAGTGCATCAACAAAGAGAGCATGATTCAAGGTTTCTGTGCACGTTAATTTGTTAAGGTGTGGTAATAACTAATAAAGAAAGAACAATTTAAGGCCCCTCTAAAGTATAAGCATACAGGTTTCAATTTCCAATTAAATATCACCATGTTTTTGCACTCCAATATAACCATGTGCAAGAGGAGCAGCATGTCTATATATTCAGCTGAAACAGTAGCACCATATTCTTCATTATCAGTACCTAGGCAAGGTCCGTACTCTCAACAATGTGTCCCACTTTTGGGAGAGAGTAGAGTTTTGCTCACTCACTTGGCAACCTATTCTCCATTGGATCGTCTTTTGAGTTGGCAGGGCCTTCAATTATAACTTCACTTCCGTCGATGAATGTTTTGTTTTTGCAAGCTATGGGCTATGTAAGGCCTCTGCATAAGAAGAAGCAATAAGTTTACCTACTTGCCATTCAAGTAAATTGCATTTTACCATCTATTAGCTAGAATTGAGATATAATTTAATCAGAGATTTCTTTCCTAAACAAAAACTGATTGGAATATTTGGCCTGCTAAATTTATCAAGTGCAATGGTAGAAAGGAGTTGGACAACCTCGCTCAATATAATCTGATTCTTGAAGTGAAACCAGCTTGGAAGAGAATCTAATAGTGTCATTAGGAAGCTCTCCTGAGAGTGCCTCCATAAGTTCTTTCCTCTTAATGCATCTAACTTCATGATATCCGTGGCAGAAAAATCACGACGGGCTTGTGAAATTTGGACCCATCGCTTGAAGTAAAGTGGCACTAAGCTCTGTTCTTACTTCGGTCTATCATTGTCCTTTTCAAATGGTTGGTAAGTAATTACCATCAATTTGGGGAGGGTATCAAATCAAAATCAAAACATATATATATACAGGAGTGCTAATTCGAGGTTTGCCAGCTCAGCCACCAAGAAGCATACCTTCTTTTGCAGAGGAGTATTTAACACAGAACACAAACAAATAATAGCCAATTGATAATAGTGGAGCCGGAGAACATTAAGACAAAAAAAAAAAACTCAAATAGTATCCAAAATGGCATACAACTCAACAATTGTAGAATAGTACGAAATGAACAACCCTGCCTCTAATATCCAGAGGTCATATGAGATATTTGACCAGTGTATTGTGTTGTTATTTGATATTGAACAACATATCAACATTTACCCATACCTATCTCTACGCAAGAATTGGGTAGAAAATCAAAATCATATCAAATCCCGATCGAGTTACTATATATATGGTTATCCATATTTGATAATTTTCCTTCATACCTTCATAAGTATGTTAGCAATTACTTGTATATCGACATTATGCAAGTGAAAAACCACAACAATAAACCACTAATTAGAAGACAATGAGTTAAAGAGAACACAGTTTTGTGAAAAATAGTATATATAGTAAATATAAAATATGATGAGAAAAGCAATAACCATTTGTAGATAAAATACATATTACATGTGTAATTGGGCGGGTTTGCGTTAGATAGTGACAAAATCATGTTCATCCATCACCCACAATATTCAGATTCGTTTTTTACCCATACCCATATAAAATTATTTGGGTTATAGGTTTATTTTACGCAATTAGGTCGGATTCAGCCCGCTGATAGTTTTGCATCCTTACTCCCATGTCTACTTTCTCTTCCACTAATCCAATCATTCTTGAAAGAGATACAAAAAAAAAAAAAAAACGTACAAGGATTATAATAGAGCGGGCTATAAGATGAAAAATGGTTTATTTAATAAACTAAAAAATGTGAAGAAACAAACCCCGGCCAATTGGCCGGGCGAAATGCTAGTTAGAGTATGTATAGTACGAGTAGTATTATGTTATACTACGAGTACTGGTATGTAATTGGGCAAAGTTATATTCCTTATCAGAGTCATAGAAGTTAGGTAATTTACGTATTAGTATTAATGTTATTATAGAAGTCAGTCTCTGTACTCTATATAAACCCTATGTGGTTTGAGTAATAAGATACAACAATACTTTCTACCGTATTTTAATTTCTTAACAGTATAGTCAACATAAAGATTAATGGATGATAAGAGGGTCACCCTGAAGACGAATATGTGTCCCGCGGAGCATATCACCAATACCAATAGCATCCATGGCTTTCCAAGCATTAGGCCATGCCATGAATTCGAATCCGCTAGTCCCCAAGCTATCAGCTGATTTCAATACTAAGCTTCTTACACAATTCTGCAAGAGTTTCCAATATGTGATTATGCTGAATTCTGAGCATACATTACATTTAAGCTGACCCATCAAAGTTATTACATACATATGACCTAGCACATATAATTGAGCATTCTCGTCATCATACTAACATAGATTGTAGTATTGTAGACAGGTTCGGTAGACTTTTATCACAAAGTTTTTTAATAGTTTGTGCAAGGGAAGAGGGAAATGTTTAGGATGCAATCCATTAGATTGCAAGTAGAATTTAACAAAAGAAAATCCCTAATTTAAAGGGTCTGGATTAGTTACTACAACAGTAGACATAAGAAGGTAAAAAAGTGGCAAGTAAATATGGAAAACAAATCTAAGTAGGAAACGCTAATAAATTCCCATGTAAATATGAAAAGTGGTACAATTTAAATCAAGTTTTTTAGAATATTTTGTCCTACTTGTGTTTGTGGACTACTTGCAGGGGTTTGTGTGGACATGGTTTTAGTTGTATTGTTCAGATGAAACGTTTAAGCAAACTGGTGCCTCTCTTTGTACAATTACTGCTCCGTTTCTTAAATTGGTGGTTAGTTTTATCATGATTATGGTAATATTCAGAGACCTTATATTTAGCTGCAGCAAAATTGTGGATAGCGTTTTACACTTACTGGTGTAGATTTTCGTGTTTGTGGGCTGGTTCCAGGGGATTGTTGCAATGAGAGCAACATGAAATAACCTTGTTGATTCCCTAATTACCCTGAGTTCCATTATTCGTATAAATCATAGCACAATAAAAAAACACCCTCAGTTCCAGTATTCATTGAACGCATACCACAATAAAAAACCCGAAATAATAGTCTTCATAACCAACTAGGCTCCATCTCGAAAAGCTAGTAAAGGAGGTTGGGGCATATGAGCTCGCATATGAGCTCGCATTACCCCGTGAGTTGGAGAAAATTCACAACGTATTCCACGTGAGTATGTTGAAAAATTATCATATCGATCCATCTCATGTGATACAACCCGAAAGGGTGGAGTTGGAGCCAGATTTGACCTATGAAGAGAAACCTGTGAGCATTGTGGATCATCAGGTACGTGTGCTAAGAAGCAAGCAAATCCCAATGCTCAAGGTTATATGGCGTAATCAGGAGGAGGAGGCTGCAACCTGGGAAACTGAGGAGAGTATGAAGAAGAAGTACCCCGAGCTAGTTGAAGCTTATGCTCAACGTATGTCGACCTAGTACCTTGTGTGTTAGCTCGATATGAGTAGGGTACATTGTAATATATAACCTCTACTATAGAGTGAGTGAATAAGTATGAAATAAGAAAATTTCCCAAGTCATTAGGTACTTAATGGCCAAGGGAAATTATCATGTTATCGTGCTGAGTTAATCGATATTTTGGACGAGCCGATTTCGGGGACGAAATCTAATTAAGAGGGGGAGAGCTGTAACATCCCGAACATCGGATAATTTTTTTTTTCCAAGTAGCGGACGCATATAGTACGATTTGAAGCTGGAAAAAAAAATCTAGAAGTTATCCTATACGAGATAGGATCAATGAAATCACTTTGAAACTCTCCAAGCCTAAAAAAATGCAATAAAAAAAAATCTAGAAGTTATCCTATACGAGATAGGATCAATGAAATCACTTTGAAACTCTCCAAGCCTAAAAAAATGCAATAAAAATAAATAAGGGGCTGGCATGAATCGAACCTGTAACCTGGGCAAAGTTCTAGGGGAGAGGCAAGTGGCCAGACCACTATGCCACACAGGACTTTTGTGTAAATACTACTGCGGCTTTATTATAAACTTAACTTACATCGCTGCTGCAGATAAACTCTACCAAGCGGTGCAGCTCTTGAAACTCGTCCCTTCAACTCCATAACTGACCTGAGGATTTAGAAGGCGGCCTTTAGCTTTATGAGGGTCTGCCTGGGCCTTAATTAGGAGTGAGGAAGATCTGAAACAAGAGTTAATAAGAGGGGGAGCCTCTCTTCTTCTTCTTCCTCACTTCATATCATCATTCTCATACGACAAGAAAAGAATGGAAGGAAAGGATAGTTGACAAACGCCTATCATAACCCCTGTATGCCCAGCAAAAGTTTAGAACCCACACAAATCCCATTACGAAGCCAAAATCGTCAAACCAACTAAACGGAAATTCTTCGCCGAAACTTTTGCCGTAACCCTTTTCGTCAGCCAAACCAGCACCATTAAGGGTAGTATCAGCTACGAAGCTTGATATCGTTGCGAAGAGCAAGTCTCCACGAGCATCACAGAGTTTACGGAATTGAATTCCA